AGGGTTTCCAAGGAGAGACTGGTGAGTTTGAGCCACCCACCAAGGGCTGTTTGATATTCAAATAGCCCTTGTGGTCCAGTGTACTATCCTGCAGTACACACTAGGACTCCACCTTCATCTTTCTTTACTCCTTAGCAACTCATTTCAAAATAGATCCATAATCACAGGCATTGGTTATTGTTGTTAAGTGCCATCAAGTGGGTTTCGACCCTTAGTGACCCTATATAGGGTTTCCGAGGAGCAGCTGGTGAGTTTGAGCTGCCAAACTTGCAGTTCAAATGGCTTTGCAGTCTGGTGCATTAACCCACAGCACCACACCAGGACTCATAGGCATAGAGGCTAGGATTTACAATATGTCACAAAATGTAGAAATTTGGCCAGAAGGGCCTAATACATAATTAGTTGCCCTGCAGGGGGAAGCTGCAAAGTCCCATTGAAATGGGGGCATACTTTCACGGTGGCATAGGAAATTGTGGTATCTTTTAAACTTATTCCAGAGGAATCTTGTTAATAAACCATATTTTAAAACGAGAGAAATTTGTTCAAATGCGAAACTTTTACAAGTATGTCATTCTGACAGTCACAACTGGGCCTCATGAGATCAATCCACATTTTTGGTGGTGATGCACTGCTTAGTTTTTATAGCCTTCTGTGATTCCTTGAATCAGCATTTCAATTGCATCTCTGCAAGTGGTAATGTCCATAAGGTCTTTTAAATCCTGTCTCCACACAGACCAACAAAAGAAATCACAACTGTTTCTTCCCACACAGTTTTCCATTGCCATCTCTCAAAGCTTTCTTTTCTACTTTTTGCTTTCTTTTTTACTTTTATCTGTCTTTTACAACAGGATCAGTGGGGTTAGTTGACTGGAGGGGTTTTCTGTTCTCTCTGGTCTTACATAATGAAACCTGGATATTTGTCTTTGAATCTTTCCCATTTTTATTGACCTGTAAGAAAATAAAAGAAACTATTTCATTTATTTTTTGTTGTAACACATTTTTTCCTTTCATTTTCTTATGTTCTTCTCATTTTCAAACTTATCTAACATGTTCTCCTATTTCAAATGTAATCCTGTAGGAATCACAAAAAAATTCTTAGCTTTTCTACAAGATTAATGCAATTTTTTTCTGATTAGCTTATATAACTTTAGACTCGAATTGATTCATTCCATTTTTTTCTTTTTCAATTTTCCCATGAGTTCTTAGTATCATTCTCTCCCCATCCCTTTCTTGATTTTTCTACACAGCCCTCATAATACAAATTTAATATGATGAAAACAATGGTTTTCCTTTTTGGATTCCTTCCATCTGTCTACAGTCCTGTAATTTAAAGCAAATGTTACCTTCATTTATATTAAAAGGAATAATTTATGTAAGGTGTCTTGAAAAGAGTAAGATTTCAGTAAATGTTAACTCTTGTTATCAATGCTTCTGCTACTTTAAAGTGAAGTTTATATCTTTTTTATGTCTTTAAACTTACAGTATTAAGTAATAGAAAGAGCCATCTAAACTATATGAGAATATATGTTAGAATTTGAGTATACTTTTACTTTGAAATTTTCTGGCAACTGAAATTTACTATCACAGCTATTTTTAGAATGGATCCAATAATTGATAACTGTTTAGCTAAAAGCACTCTTTCAATACTTAAGTTTTACATTTTTAAGGGATGTTAGTAAATGAAATACTCTGCTAGCTTAGTGGTTATGAGTCAAGCTGCTAACCTCAAGATTAGCAGTTTGAAACTACCATCCATCTGATTGAGAAAGATGAGGCTATTTGTTCCTGTAAAGATTTACAGCCTCGAAAAATCTATGCAGGGTAGCATGGAGTCAGAAAGGACTCCACAGCACACCACCACCACCACCAGTGGATCAAATGTACATTTTCCTCAAGCTGGATGCATGTAACTAGTTGTTCCTTAAGTTGTTCCACATAATTGTCTTATGCTCAGTATTATAAATGTATACATACCATATTTTCTCGTATTTCTTTTCTAGATCTCAATGACTTTTCAAAGACTTTTTAGTTTTTCATTTTGCTTAATTATTTAATAATGTCACAACAGATCGATCATTTATTTAGTGGATTGTTTATATTTAACTCCACTTTCCAGTCCTCTATATTGCTAAGATCTTATTAGTAACATCATTCTTGCTCATTTTGAACTCTAGTATCAATGTATGTCATCATATTTTCCAAGACATCTCCCACAGATTTGCAGAAGTTGGTGTTTTCCCAATTCTGTGGAATTTTAACCATCTCAGCCTATGAAATGGAGTGGCACTGTGGGTTAATGTGCTGGACTGCAAGGTTGTTTGAACCACAATGTAGGCGGTTCAAGCTCACCAACTGCACCTCGAAAACCCTATACAGGGTGGCTATGGGTTGGAACTGACTCGATGACAGGTAACAACAAGCCTATGGAATATGGTCACTTATTCTTCCTTTATTCTTCTTTCTTTCTTTCCCTCCTTCATTCATTCTTTTGTTCCTTGGTTTGTTCGCTTCTTCCTCATTTCCTTTTCCCCCTCCTTGGTACTTGGGTATCAGCAGCTATCTTTCGCTTCTGACAAACAAACAGGCAACAAGAACAACAAAACCCCTGTATTTTTATTGCTAGATCCTTATGTTCCCGGAACAAACTTTACAAACTATTTTACTTTATATAATTATGATTCAGTCAGTGGCTAGGCATTTGACTGAAAAGAGCAAGCCAAAGTAATAGGTAATACAGTAGAAACAAGATTCACTTGTCACCTGTAGATAGACCTCTTTCTCCCAACAATGGTCATTAAGAAAAATGCAGTCGGTCTCAAGGCGCTCCCTCACTTGTTGGGAGAATGGGGCAGGCAGGAAGGAAAAACGCGTGGAGGGTGGGATGTAAATAAAACAGACTGAAGCTCCAGAGAGGGCAGGGACAGAGCTTCACTTAAGAAAATTTATGAACCTGGTTGGTACAACCTAGCTTCCCCAAACCCACCCACCCACTCTTTCTAGAGCTCTGTGTCTCGGATGGCGGCGAGAGACTGATAGCGAGTGGTGCTCTCGCAGAGTCAAAATCTGCAGGGCGAAATCTGGGCAGACTTCATCTTCCAGTGGGTGAGCTCTCTGGACCACCAGCCAGCCTCCGCTCCCCGCCACTACCAGCCACTACCAGCCCATCCACCCGCTCCCAGCGGGGTCCGGAAGCGCCAGTTGGACCCGCCCTGAGCTCCATGGTTTGCCTAGCCCTGCGCGATGGTGACTCTGGGCGCGGAGGTTGGCGCCTGGCGAGTCGGCAGCTCTCAGAATGAAGGTGGGGATCACAGCGAAGGCTGTCTTCCAGACTCCAGTGCTCAGACTAGCGGCCCAACCACCTGAACCCAGAAAACGCCAACAAGTAGTTTCTCATCTGAGAAAGGCAGCTCAGCTGGGTGTCGGAACTCAGTCCCGCTGGCCGGAACATCTGGTCCACTCGGAAACCGAAGCAAAGCCACTTTTCTCTCGGTGTCGTTAAGGTATCTGAGGGTGGAAGCAAGGGGCATGTTTTCCAAGAAGGGCATGCTGACCCTGCAGGCAGAGCGTCCTCCACCCCCGTTCCACATGGGAAGGTGGCTGGGAGTCTGGTGACCGGGATGCTGCCTGACGGGATTTCCAGCTCTCCTATCTAGGGGGTGTGCTTCTGGCGCCTTTTAGCTGGGCCTCGTCCCTCTGCTAAAGCAAATCCCTCACCCTACACCCCAATACATTTGTTTTTCTTGGGAAGGGGGGAGGGATGTGTGAGATGCATTGATCATTTCTGTTCTCAAAGATGGATCCTAGGTAGTCGTTTCCTTTTAAAGTAGTAGTAATAATAATAAAAACAAAACTAACAACAAAGACGATATTGCGGGAAGGAAATTGGATCAGGAAATTAGTCAGACGTCTCCTTGGTGAAAGGCAACTGCAGGGACATTTTTTGCTCACTTCTGCGTTCAGTAGAGGTAAGAGGAGAACAGGTCGTGCAAAGTACACTTCCTGAGCGCTAGAGAGCATGGAGCCGTCCAGGGTAGACCGAGGGTACGCAGGTTATCGATCATCTCTGCCCAATCCAGGGGGGATCCCACCTAGCAATGCCATATAGCCTTAGCGAAGAGTACTCCCAAGTAGGGCAGGAGGAGAGATGGGGGTAGGGCGAGGAAGAAAGGGGTTAAGAAGGGAACTGTGAGAGAAAGAACAGGGAAGGGGGAGAGAAGAGGACAGAATAGAGGGCAAGAGTTTAGTAGAGAGAGAGGGGATTTCGGGGGTGGGGTGGGGGTGGGGACCGGGGCTCGATAAAGAGTTTGGGGGAAGAGAAGAGACAGGGAAAGAAAGGGTCTAATCTGGGAGCAGATTAGATTGGGGAGGTGAAGGTGGGTGAAGAGTGACTAGATGAAGGCAGGGAGAACAGATCAAAGGGAGGAAGGTAAGGTGTTAGGCTGAGAAAAAAGGTGTCTTGGAAGGTCAAGGAAGACTGGGATTGCTGTAGTTTAGTTCTCTGGACACCTGGGAAAGGTGTGCTGCAAGAGGCGGGGACCCGGCTGGGTTAGCTGCTGATCTCTTCTTGGAAGGGTTGTTTGCCACTTCCCCATCTGCCTACGTTGTATTTTAGGGTTCTTGGACTAGGGGTGGGGGTGGGGTCCTGGAACGCTCTGACCGCCCAGATTTTTAACTTGGCGTTGTGTTCGCCTCCTCCTAGTCATGTCTGAGCCACAGAGATGGGCAAGATCGAGAGCAACGAGAGGGTGATCCTCAATGTCGGGGGCACCCGTCACGAAACCTACCGCAGCACCCTCAAGACCTTGCCTGGGACGCGCCTGGCCTTGCTGGCTGCTTCTGAGTCCCAGGGGGATTGCTTGACGGCGGCGGGAGACCAGCTACAGCCGTCGCCACATCCTCTCTCGCCTCAGCCGCGGGTGCCTCGGTTGCCCCCGGGACCTAGAGACTGTTTCGAAGGCGGCGCCGGCAACTGTAGCCCCCGCAGCAGCGGCGGTGACCACCGGATCGGTGGCCGCGAGTTCTTCTTCGACCGACACCCGGGAGTCTTTGCCTATGTGCTCAACTACTACCGCACCGGTAAGCTGCACTGCCCAGCCGACGTGTGCGGCCCGCTCTTCGAGGAGGAGCTGGCCTTCTGGGGCATCGACGAGACCGATGTGGAGCCCTGCTGCTGGATGACCTACAGGCAGCACCGCGACGCTGAGGAGGCGCTTGACATCTTTGAGACCCCCGACCTTATTGGTGGCGATCCGGGCGACGACGAGGACTTGTCGGCTAAGAGGCTAGGCATAGAGGATGCAGCGGGGCTGGGAGGACCCGAAGGCAAGGCTGGTCGATGGAGGAGGTTGCAGCCCCGTATGTGGGCCCTCTTTGAGGACCCCTACTCTTCCAGAGCCGCCAGGGTAAGGCCAGAATTGACCCCTCCCCTGCCAACTCCAACTTCTGCCAACTTCCTTTCATACTAGCTATTAATCCCCACTAAGGGCCTACAGGATAGCTATTGTTGTTAAGTGCCTTCCATGGGTTTCGATGGAGCCACTAAAGAGCTGAAGCACCGAAAAATTAGTGTCACTTTGTCCAAGTGATAAGTTCCCAATTTTTTTTGTATTAATGTTCGTCTAAAAACTTCTTATATCAATGATAAAAATCACAGGCTAGGGGTTGAATTTCCTGATAAGGATTGTTTTGAGGAGGAAATAGACCTCACTTGTAGTCCAGGTGTGGAGTTGTGGGTTAATGAGCCAGACTGCAAAGCCATTTGTTCAAGCTCACCAGCTGCTCCTCTGAAACCCTATACAGGGTCACTGTGGGTCGGAACTGACTCAACGGCACTTCACAACAACAACACTGGACTACTAACCACAAGGTCGGATGTTCAAATCCACCAGTTGTACCTCAGAAGCCCTATACGGGGTCGCTATGAGTCTAAATCTAATGGACCGCAGCAGTAGGAAACAGGGTCCTGCTGTGGCTCTGTAGGATAAGCACTGGATTGCTAACCACAGATCTCCACAACAGGACTCCAAATTGGGGACTTCCTGGTGAGGTTAGAGGTCCATCTGGTACAAGGTTAACCAGGGGGACCTTGGTCCCATGTACCCCATACCCGCTCTTGCACTTCAAACTGAGATTTACTTCGGTAGATAGGACCTAAAGGGCAAGCGTCAACTTCTCTGTACCAGTCTGTCTGGGATCTTGTTCTTAAACCAGTATCATACTGCCTCCTGAGTTTTTTCTTCACTTTTCTTCCAACTTTTCTTTTAGATTGGATGTCACCTTGGGCCTTCTGGTCATACTGACTTGACTTGACATTTTCAGTGAGGCCTGACGCTCCTTCACATCTGACTCACCAGAGCAGTGGCTCCAATTAGGGATCTATTCTGAGGACAGAGGAAGGGGAAATGGAATATAGGTTTGTGGCAGTGTGTTTCTGTGGGGCTGGGGGAAGACAGGGGATTCATTTTTGACTAGAATTTCCTGAAAGCTCTGTGAACTTGTCTCAAATGGATCCAAAAGCCCACTTGTGCCCTGAGTTTTGAAGACTGGTACTTTTCCCCTTGATCTGTGCCTATGTTCTTTATAGGTTGAGCACTTTGGTGCTCCTGGTTGATTCTCTAAATCTGAGTACCTTCAATTGTAGAAAACTCTATTTCACTCTTCAGACTGTGACTCCAGCCTTAATTTTTCCTTTTGGCTTTTAGCTTGAGTGACAGGTTAAATTCAGTTCTTTAACTCCCAATTAATTCTTCAAAATCCCAAGAAGGGAGGACAAAAGTAACTGCTTTAAAAAGTGCTTCCCGTTTTAAGGAAATGAAAGAAGCATAAATAACTAAAAATTATATAGTATGTGAATGGTTTTTAATTATATGTGAGAAAGGAATACTGTATTTAGTTAAATCCTTGCAACTGCCTGTGCCTGGTTTTGCTTCTGTAACCTAGAACAGACACCCCCTGGGCAGAATGGGAATTCTCCCAGCTTGACTTTGGTACCATTTTCATTATTGTTATCTTTGGCATCTGAGATATTGTGTTGCTGTCTATCTACTAATGTGTTTTAAATGATACTGATAATCAGGTGGTCAGAAAATGTGCTTCTGATAACCACTTTAGAAATCTGAGGAAAGGCTTAGCTTTCAGTTTTAAATAGAAAGCAAAAGAGACAACTTAAAACATTACTGTGTTCTTGCGTTTGATATTTAAATGCAAACAAATTGTAGTCTGCCCACAGTCACATATTTGAATATGAAATTAATAACTTCAACTCTGAAATCTTTCTTTTAAGACCATTCTATAAATACAACAACCAGAGTTGTCATTAAGAAAACAAATACAAGTGCATCTTTATTTAAATTAAATCACAAGCTCATGACTATTACGTCTGCGTTTTTTTTTGGATTCCAGCTGAGTGTCATGGTGCTCATTCCACTTGGTGGCTAAAAAGATAATCTGTTTGTTTTTCTGGCTCATCATGTGACTCCTTCCCTCCTCCCCCCTTCTTCCATCCTGTGCCATATAAAAGAAAAAATGCTTTATTAGTTTTCCTCATGATAACATGAAGTATTGTAATTTAGGCTACCTTACAAGGTAAAAACTTAAAGGAGGTGATCAATTTTTATCATTGCTATGGCATTTCATTCTATTGATTAATGGTCAAACAGGTAGACCATTGACTTGAAGGTTTTTTTTTTTAATCTTTCATAGATTTTTATTGTAACAACATTGAGAATTTGACCTGTACCCATTTTAGGTGATGAAAGAACCCAGATAGATTAGAGATTTATACAAGGTCAAAAGAGAAACTAGAAGCAGAATCAGCTAAGAATTATAGATCTGGAAAAATGTTTCAGGTCACCTAGTCAAAACCCTTTATTTTGTAGATGAGGAAACTGAAGACTGCAGATGCTCTGTGATGGCCAAGGTCACACAGCAAGTTAATAGCAGAGCCAAAATTACTCCTGAGGTCTCATGACATCCTCTCCAGGCCCTTACACCACAACCACTGACTGTGATTGAATGTCTGGCATGTGGAATTTCTGCAGATGTGTGTTGCTTTTGAGATTTAATGCAGCATTACTTTCACTAGAATGCTAACTTCAAAAGGTCATCTATGACTTTAAAAGTATACATACATATGTATTCCATCACTTGGGCTGGTAGTATTATTACTTGCACCAACCAACATTAGAATAAAGATAGAGGACTTGAATTAACTTCTAAAGCACCCTGTTTGAACTTTCCATTATTATTGATCAATTAGTATTTCATATTTTGCTTTCTTTCAGGTTAGCTGTGTCATATGTGGCACTTATCTACAGTGAAATCCCTTTTTGAATTACTAGGATTAGCTAAGAAAGAGTAACTATAAATCACCATTTTATTTAAATATGGTTTGACAATTTTGCATTAATACCATTAGTTAGCTGTTAGCCTCACTTCAAGCTACCTGCCAAGTTTGATACATAGAAATATATTAGAAGGTTAAAAGGTGTTTTATTTTACATGGATATATTTCTAAGACACATAAAGAATTTTCAAGTGGTTTACTTCAGCTGTGGACTTACTGTCACAAGTTTTATTTCTGATAGAAGTTAAATATTTAAATTTTTCTAAATAGTCCTACTTTTTATATCAGTTCACATTTTCATGATATATTTGAACAATTTTGGCTGTCTAAATTCCCTTTTCAATTTGTTATATATTTCCTTTCATATTTTTCTTTACCCTTTTCTAATAATGGAGAAACTTACTCCATTATTGTGTTATTTCTAGCTTTTATGATCAAAAGTGACAGACTGAAAGAGAAGTGATAGAAACTCCATAATCAATTGAATTTTGTAACTCTGTGTTTATGTCTTAAGCTGGTATATTCCCCTACTTTCTTGATTTTAATTTATGAAGTAAATACACAGTTGAGAATTTGAGAGCTCTAAATCATCCAAATTAAGCTGATAAACAAATGTTTATTTTATATTTATACTGTATGAATTTATATGTCTAAGATTAATATTAAAAATAGATATTTATAAAAATTCTAAAATAAGTTGTCATAGAAACCTGTTGTGGAAAATATGAAGTCAGGACATAAAAAGATTGCTTTGAGTGCCATTGAGTGATATATTTGTTGTTGTTAGGTGCCATTGAGTGGGCATCTACTTAGGGACTAAGAGCAATACAACAGAAAGAAACACTGCCGAGTCCTGCACCAACTTTTTAATTGTTGCTAAGTTTGAGCCCATTGCTACTGTCATTGTGCAAATCCATCACAATGGAGGGCTTCCTCTTTTTCGCTGAGCCTCCAGGGACTTGTCCTTTCTAATCATATGTCTGAAGTATGAAAAACAAAGTCAGGCCATCTGGCTTCTAAGGAGCATTCTTGCTGTACTTCTTCCAACACAGATGCGTTTGTTATTTTGGTGATCCATGTTGTTGTTGTTGTTGTTAGGTGCCATCAAGTCAGTACTGACTCATAGTGACCTTATACACAGCAGAACGAAACACTGCCCAATCTTGGGCCAACCCTCACTATTGTTGCCATGCTTAAGCCCACTGATGCTGCTACTTGGCCAATCCATCTCGTTTGGGGTCTTCCTCTTTTTCTCTGACCCTCCACCTTACCAAACATGATATCCTTCTCCAGTGACTGGTCCCTCCTGATAATATGTCCAAAGTATGAGAGACGAAGTTTGGCCATCCTGGCCTCCAAGGAACACTCTGGCTACACTTCTTCCAACACAGATCTGTTTGTTCTTTTGGCAGCCCATGGCACTTTCAATATTCTCCTCCAACACCATAACTCAAAAGCATCCATTCTTCTTTGGTCTTCCTTATTCACTGTCCAGCTTTCACATGCATATGAGGTTATTGAAAATATCATGGCTTGTGTCAGGCGCACCTTAGTCCTAGGTGATCCATAGTACTTTTAATATTCTCCTCCAATACTATAACGCAAATGAAAAACTATTATGATAGGTACACATAATTAAAAACTAGGGATACATAGATGTGGTTGTAAAAATGTTATACATTTCGTATTTCCAATTTAATTTTAGAAACAAATGAAGCTAGTTTTCAGCTTTCGTCTGAAGACACCATATCTATCATAAGTATGTGGAAGGTATCAAGAAGTAATTTTAATAAAACTACTGGGTTTTTGAGAGGTTTTTTTTTTTTTAAATAGTATAAAGACAAATTGTTGTTGTTATTAAGTGTTATCAAGTTGGGTGTGACTTATAATGACCCTGTATAAAGTTTCTGAGTCTGTAAATCTTTTACCAGAGCAGAAAACCTGAGCTTTCTCCTGTGGAGCATCTGGTGGATTTGAATTGTCGACTTCTTGGTTAGCAATCCAGTGTTTATTCACCAGCACTCCTGATAAGGTCAAATAGTAGAATCAAAATATAAG